ACACAAATAAGCCTGAGCATGATTTTTCAGGATGTGTATTATATAAGCCCTACCCCCAAACTAAGCCCCAGTTAAGATCATCAGCCAACCAGACACATTTAGTGCATCCATTACAGCACAAGAGATGCATTGGGTTATAAAATAATAATATTAATATGTAGTTAAAAACAAATAAATAATATTATTGACATTAGTACTTATAATAAAGAATGTTACAAATCATAATTAAGTATCTGTAAATACCAAAGCATTGCTTTTGGATGAGCGATAAATGCCTATGTAAACAGATGGACTCAAAACTTACTGTCAAAGACCGTTACAAGCGAAACACATGAATAATGTGTGCACTTGATAACAAATGGACATGATTGTGTCTAATATGAATATTCATAACTCAATGTCACATATTGTAATTGATACACTCAATGCACTCATGTGAAATAAAGAAACATTGTCTGGATTTTGGTGTTTGCAATTTTTTGTTGCTTTTCTGTGAACCTCCATTCTTAACTGTCATCATTTTTGTTGCCACTCTTGTCTTGCAATCCTTCACTTAACACTTGATTTAACAGAAACTTTGCGATGTCTAGCCTGCAGTAGATTATGATGTGGTGAAGAATTCATGGGATAAAATTTCTGACAGCTGTGTTGTCAGTGCACTACAGACAGGCTATGTGGACAAGAAGTGCTTACTTAAGAAATTTGTCTATTTGTATAATTTGGGTCCCACTAGCTCTTCTAGTTTTTAGATTAGGGGCCAACCTGTTATCTATCTGAGTGTTGCTAAACCTTTTTGCCCCTGAGCTTGATCTTGAGCTGTACTCTTTTACTTACTAAAGTCACAAGGTTGTCCTTCCTTCTAGCTGTATAGTTCTACACTGCCCAAAAGTGTCATAGCTTTCCAGTCTGTCTGTGGCTGCTGGACGAGTTATCCCATTTCTCTCAGGTTTCCTGTCACATATAGCATTGTTTTCTCATCTTTGACTCTCAGTTTATTAACCCTCTTTCAGGTTGAGTATATCTCCTATTCAGAGCATCTCGATGGATTCTGCCGCCTAGTCTACTCTGCTTGTGTTTCTTTTTTTGTTAGTGTTTCAGGACTATCTATATTAAAGATTGTAGCTTACCGTCTCTGCCTCATTTCTGCCATTTTATTCTTCTGTTATTATTTGTCCACTTTACTCCTTCATTCTACTGTCTGCCCTGTTCACTGAGGCCTCTCTGTCACTGTTGCTGGAATCCTGGTGTTTTTTCCTCTCTCTCTCTGGAATGTCCTTCAGTACTTTTTGTAGGGTTGGGTTGGTGGCCCTGAACTCCCACAGTTCCTCCTTGTCTTGGAAATATCTTATTTCTCCATTAATTTTGAGAGAGAGTTTTTATGGGTTCATCAGTCTTGGTTGCAAATTATTTTCTTTCAGGGATTGGACTATTTCCCCCCAGGCTCTTCTCAATTTGAGAGTTTGTGTTGATAAGTCTGTCATTATTTTTATAATTTTTCCATTGTAGGTAATCTGCGTCTTTTCTCTGGCTGCTTTTAATATTCTGTTCTTGTGGTGGATTTCTGGAATCTTGATTATTATATGTCTGGGTGTAGATCTGTTTTGGTTGTAGGTGGCTGGAGCTCTGTATGTCTCTTTTATCTGAATATCATTTATTTTTCCTATGCTTGGGAAGTTTTCCTTAATTATATCTATGAATATTCTTCTTTTTTTTTTTTTTGGTCTTTTTCATTTTTATCGGTACCAGGGATCAAACTCACGACTGCCTGCTTGCAAGGCAGGTGCTTATGCCGCTGAGCTAAACCTCCAGCCCCGTATCTATGAATATTCTTTGTAGTTCATTTGTAGTTACTCCTGCTTCTTCGCTCACATTTTTTATTCTTAAGTTATAAATCCTCTTGTCATCTTCTAGCCTTTGTATTGTTTCTCCCTGGTTTCTTGTTATTTTTTAAGAGATCTTTTCTTTCGCAATCATGCACCATAAATCTCTCTTCAAGTTTCAAAAGGCTAACTTTAGTTTCTGTCAAGGCATTTTGCCAGCTTTCAGTGGAGTTTTTAGTTTCCTGGTAGTCTCTTTGGATCTGTTTCACACATTCTAGATTTTGTTTATATTCTTCATGAAAGGTTTCTTTTCCTTTTCTGAGTTCCTCTGTTCTTCCACATGTGTCCTCTTGGGAGGGACTTACCATTTCTTTAATTAATCTTTTTATATCTTGTCTCACTTAGATCAGAAGTACAGTTTTGAATTCATCTATGAGGTCATGAAGGTATTTCTTTATGTCCACTGAAGCTGTATCTAATATTGCATGATTACTGCACTGTTTCTCTTCTGTATTTATCTCTCCTGGGCTTATTTTTCCAGGGTCAGTAGCTGGAGGTTTTTTTTTTTTTTTTTTTTTTTTTTATTTCTATCTCTTGTCATGTTTCTGGTTTCTTTCAGACAGGTGTGTCCAGGGGGTCTCTGGCTCTCTGTATTGCTTAGGGTCTTTCCGAAGTGTGCTGACTAGTGTTTTGATACCCTCCACAAATTGCTGTTACCTGAGATATCTTAAACTCCCTCCCAGGGGCTTGTGATGGTGTGGGGACACTCACCCCAGGCTGCCCCGTCTAGAGTTCAGGGCACAGGCAGGCAGACCCAATTCCCTGAAGCTGGTCAATCACAGCAGGAAACTGGAAAGTTCTGGTTCTGTATTTTTGATTATTGTCTGAAGAGGTATTTTCAGGAGCAGCTTCTCTGGGCTCCATTTGCTGCGGTGGTTCTGTGGGGCTCCAGTTGCATGGGCCTGGTGGCAGCGAAGACACACTCACCCACCCTGGGACCTTGGAGGCTCCGGTAGGTAGCAGGAGCCTGCTCAGAGCTGTCCCGGTGGGCTCGGGTCCTTGCGGGAGCAGAGAGTGTGAAGATGGGGATGCATCACAGCAGGTCGGGTCCCTGCCCGTGGTGCCGCCCCTTATCCTCATACCCTACGGGATGCCGCCCGGATCTGGGAAGGCGGTGGGGGCGGCAGCTCCATGGGGCTCCGGTCATGCAGGCCTGGCAGTGGCAAAGACACACTTGTCTGCCTGGGGACTTTGGGGTGCTCCGGTGGTGGGGGCCTGCTCAGTGCTGACACCTCAGGCTCCTAAAGATAAAGACAGCTACTACGAAGAGACTGAGAAACATTATGGTAGACATTATTAATTTCCCCAAAATCAAGTCTTGAAGACCTAAAAAGCCTTCCATCCTGTAATGATCTGATTAGTTCTATAATGTCTAGTATATATTCAGTGTGTGTGAAGATGGGGACAACTATTTGGAAGAAAACCAGAGACAATAAGATAGACAGTGAAGATCTTAGTGGACTTGCTTTGAAATCTATGTTTCTTTAAATTGTTTCTCTATAAACAGTTTTGTTCTGTTTTGCTATGTTTAATCTTACCCTCTTTAAGATAAAAAAAACAAGTGTGTAGGACTGATAACCATATTACTAAGTTCTTGTTGGATCGTTGAGCAGAACTGTTTGCAGTGTCATTGTTTGACTATCACTTTGTATGCTTTAATTTTGTAACTCGAGCAACAATTTCTAAGATGACAGTATGTAACTTATCGGCTGGTGATTTCTTACTGTTTATTTTTCTGAATTCTGTATTGTTTCTACCCTTTTTATCTGTTTTTTTCTTTAAGTAAATTTAAAAAAAGAAATTTATCACTGAATGTGAGAGATTGAAGCCAATGGTTCTGCAGCAAATGGAGTCACAAGAAATTCAGGCTGGAAATTGGAGTTTGGAGAGCTGTGACAGTTTTTCAGAAGAAGATGACATGACTAAATTTAAACAAACGTGGGGTTTTTTTGCAAAAGCGTGCTGTGCAGGGTTAGTGCAGGCTCAGGGCCAGGAGAGGTGATACTGGGGACCATAACCCTTGGTCAGCTGGAGTCAGGGAGTGGGGAAGAAGAGCAGCTGCTGACAGCTGGTAGATACTTTTGCATTACTGAAAGCCGGGCAGATGAGGAAGATCCAGCAGAAGATAACTGAAAGAGTACGTGTGCTTGCCTTTGGAATCTGTTGAATGTAGTGGTGATTTGCTGTCCTTCTTCCAGGGTTTTTGTTTATTTAAAGCATTTTAGAGTCTGTCTTTGTCCCTAGGGACATGTCCCCTGCTCCTTATGTTGAAATTTCCATCTACAAAACATTAGTGTAGGGCCAATAATGGGGTTCAGACTTAGTCCTTGACCTCTGGAAGATAATTTTCTGTAATCCAGAGCCTTGCTTTATGACTCTGGTCATATCCTGTAGCCACCATGAATCAGGAGACAGTTTTCTTCTGTCTGTTTTTAGGAGTATTCCAAGAACTAAGTTAATGTAAGAGGACTCTGTGATATTAAAATTACACGTTTGTACTTTGTAAGGAGAGTAAGAGCCTCATTCATTCGTCTGTAAAATGGGACATTCACTTACTCATCCAGCATATGCATCGTGTGTCCGGCACCAGTGAGCTAATGGAGCGAAGCTATGGAAGTGGCCTTTGGAAGAGCCAGGGAGCCTGAACTGCGTGCCTGTCCCTCCTCCCTGAAGTTCATTTCCTGCTGTACTCACATTTGTCTGCTGGATGCCTGCTCTTCCATGAGGCAAGGAGATAGCTAACTGTAGGTTCCAAAGACCTGTCTAAATCAAAAGTATGATTTCAAAAACATAAATTCACACGGCAATAAAGTAATTAGTCTTATAAACTAGTAGCAAGGTATACAGAGAGAACACAGCTTGTTGGACTTAGAATCTTCCATTAATTTAGGAGTGGACAGGCTATCGATCATTAGAGCATTGTGGCTACCCTGGCTGTGTACTGATTTCTCTCCTAAGAGTCATTGCTTCTGCCTTCCTGCTCCACAAGGAGCTCCTTGTGGGCTTTGCTGTGCTCATCTTGAATGGCCGTGACCCAGCCGCATTGTTGCTCATGGAAAGTCTATGTGTTGAAGGATCATTTGGCAGCAGTGATGAGTGTCCTTGGTCTTGTACTTGCAGGTTGGAGCCCTGACCCGACTGTGTGATGTGCTGCGTGTGCTGCGTGAGGAGCAGGACCAATGCCTGCAGGAGCTCTCCAGGGATGGGAAAGGTGGTCTGGGTCTGGAGCCACTAGCACCAGGTATGAGATTCTCTCAGCTGATACGTACGTACTTGTGTCCAGTTCCTCTGGGCCAGGATGGGATGTAGGGCTGGTCTAGCGTTGCTCACTCAGCCAGCAGGGGTCTGGTAACGAGTCTCTGCACAACCCGGAAGCTGACATCTCCTCTCCTCGGCTGTGTGGCATATGGGGAGAGCCATATGCCACACATTAGCTCCTGCATCCAGGCTTCATCAAGGTGGGACCTGCTATGGAAGGTGGTTTGCTTCTCATTGTCACCTCCACTGCCCATTTAATGAGTGAGGAAGGAGGCAATGCAGTTGAGGCCAGAGAAACTTGGTGTCCCATGCTTCTGACACTCTCTGGCCATGTGACCAGAGGTTAAATCATTTAACCCTCTGAGCCTCAGTTTTCTGTAAAATGAAGTTGATAATGTCCACTTCTGGATGAGGTAAAGTGTGTAATATTGTATATGTATAACAAGTTCTTTGCAAATATTGCTAATTTTAATATTAATCAATACTTTACTATTAGTTCTATATTTAAATATTAATTTTTCCGCTTCCTTCCTCTTAACTTCTCTTCTTACTCTTTATCATCTAAGGATGTGGTATTAAGAAAAGGATTTATTGTGGTATTCAAACAAACATTTGTAATTGAGTGTTTAAAGTAGCATTACTTATATACCCAAGAGAGGAGATAACCCAAATACTCATCAATTGATGAATGGATAAACAATGTGACACACCTATACAATGGAATATTATTCAATTTTGAAAAGGAATGAAGCTGGGTTTGGTGGTCCACACCTGTAATCCCTGCACTCAGGAGGCTGAGATAGGAGGATCTATGAGTTCAAGGCCAGCCTGAGCTACATAGAGAGTTCATAGGAAGCCTATGAACTACATAGCAAGACCCTCTCTCAACCTCCCTCCCCCAAAAAGAATGAAAGGGGCTTGGAGGGTAGGTCAGTAGTGGAATGCTTGCTTAGCCTGCTTGAGGTCCCAGCATGAGAAAGAGGGAGGAGGGAGGAATGGAGGGAAGAAGATAGGAAGAGAGAGGGAGGGAGAGAGAAAGAACTAATAGTTGCAGCAGTGTGAATGAACCTTGAAAACATAGTGCTAATGAAATAAGCCAGCTACAAAGATTTACACATCATATGATTCCATATACATGTGAAATGTGCATGGTCAAATGGGAAATGATCAAACCTATAAAGATGGAAGATGTAAATTGCATTAGTGGTGACATAAGGTGAGGTGAGGGAGAACAGGGAGAGACTGTTTGATATGCACAGGGTTTCTTTTGAGGGGCTATACAAACATCTTAGACCTAGAGAGAGGTGATGGCTGGGTAATACAGCATTGTAATTGTGCCAAATGATACTGAACTGTGCACTTTAAATGGTTAATGTTTAATTTATATTATATGGTTTTATTTCAATTAAAAAAAAACCCAGGCTTTTAAGTGACTGATCTTAAACAAAGTTATTTAATGTCCCTGGGCTTCAATTTCCACATCTAATAGAGACTGGTATGAAATGAAAGGCACTCATTCAGAATGATTTGTGAACACTTCCGGTATCCAGTGAGGATGTGATAGTGAGAAAGCAGCCCACAGACCCCTCTCAGTCCTGAGGAATGCGTTTCGTCCCACGAGGCAGGAGTTCAGTGAGTAGTCACCAAATAGGCATTCTTTGTTACTATTACTGAAAGGTGAGAGCTGCTGGAACCCTCGGTCTTCTGACTTCACATGTGGCTTCTGTCCTGGTACAATGGCAGCTGCTCTTCTAGGAGGGAAAGAGAAGGGGATCCTCCTTCGTGCTTCTAGGCCAAACTTCTCTGGGAGGCTTCTGCTTACCTTGCACAGCTAGCCCTGGCTGCAAGAGAAGCTGACAATCCAGACTTCTAGCTGTGCATGTGGCTGTCTTGAACAACCTAGATTCTGCCAGTGACACAAAAGAGAAGGATGGCCAACAGGCAGTCCATGCCACAGCCATCTCAATTCTGTATGGAGAGCTGAGTCAATTAATCACAAATCTATGTAAAATAACAATGAGCTGACGACAGTGCCGCTCTGCCTGCCTGTAGAACCAGGGCTCTCAACTGGTCCAGGCCTCTACAAGGGCTTTGCTGGGGTGATGCGTTTGAGCCCAAGCCCTGAGCATGTCTGGTCATGTCCTGGCACAGAGGTGCAAGGGAGCAGCAGGGCCACAGCACACAGGAGCTCACCAGCTGTGTGGAAGAGTTTTATCCTGATAGTTGAGTGACGGAAAGCCTTGGAAAGTCTTCAAGGCGAGTGGTGAAAGTCTTTGAGGCAAGTCCGTGGTGAACTACCATCCTTGCTGCAGCATGGATGACAGGCTAGAGAAGGATGCCAGCTGGTTCAGAGATGCCCATTAGGATGCTGGTGGCCTGGCCAAGATATATTGATCACTATGACTAGATGGGGTGTCTTTAGGTTGCCAGGAGCCAGTGATGAGCAGGGCTGTGGTAACCAACACCAGACCGGGAAGGAAGCTGGCAGACACTGAGTTATCACTCTGAGCCAGTGGTCGTCATCCCACTGCAGCACTGAGGAGACAGGTGGAGCAATGTGAGAGCAAAGGTGCCAGAACTAACTGGTCCCCTGCTCCCCAGAAGTCAGAGGCAGGAAGCAGCATTCATTCCTGGAATCCCAGCCTGCCATGCTGGGAGATGAGTGGGCTCCCATAGCTGGACAAAGCTACTGGATGAGGTGTGCAGGGTCAGCTGTGGACAGCAAGGTTGGAAGACACAGAATGGATTAGGACCAAGTAATATGGGCTGCTCTGAAGGGTGGGGCGGCATGGTAAGAGCCACTTCGGCGGTAACACTGACCAGACTTGATCATGAATTGAATCCCAGGTGTGTGGTGCAGGGGGACGGGGGGAGGCAGAGAGAACCTGGGATGCCCCAGATGTTGGCCTTGAGCATTTGGAGAGAAAAACGAAGGAAGCTGAGGAAACTGGAGAGGAGGAATTGAGTTTCAGATGTACAGAGTTGAGAGCCAAGCACAGAAACCAGGGCTGGGGGTGAACTTGTGTACAAGAGCAGACAGCCAGTGAGGCGGGGGCTGCACAAGGAGGAAATGAGGGGGAAGAGGAGGGCCCCAGGGGAGCCTCAGCACCATGGGTACTTGTACTGAGTACTTGTCACTGGGAGCTGCTGGAGTAGGGAGAAAATCAGGTGAGGGCAGCAAAGGCCCAACCATGTGGATAGCACCAATGTGCGTCCAGCCAGTTCGCTCGTACACAGTGGGAGGGACAGGATCTCCATCTCCTTCAGTTTGACCCTTCGCTTCCACTTGCGGCTGCTGGCTCTGGAAAGCCAAACACTGGCCTCAGCGCCCTTGGGAGTGTTGAGAGCCTCCTGATTTCCCCAACCTGCTTGCTCTCCCAGACACAAAGTAGAAAGCGAGGCACTGACGAGGCCAGCCTGGTGCCTCAGTCTCAGCCGTCCTCTTCCTACATGTCCCCAGGAGAAGGTGGCCTGAGAGAGGGGGTCTGAACCCCGAAGCCCCGCAGACACAGCGGAGAGCTTCAGGTCCTGGCTGATGTGCTCCAGGGTGAGTGCACGCCTGTGGTCCCAGCCACTCAGAAAGCTGGGAAAGGGAGTGGGAGTTCAAGGCCAGCCCAGGCAATTTAGCAAGACCCTATGGCACAATAAAAAGACATTTTTTAGAAGAAAGGCATCTGTAGCTTCAGTAAAATGACACTGGGTTTGATCCCTGTTACAATAAGAAAAAAAAAAGTCTGTTGCAGTTTCCTGTGTCAGTTTTTGTCACGCCCCAAGTCTCCGCACATGCCAAACACCATTTCCCCTCTTCTTCACTCTGCCAGCTGTGGGCTTTTTGGGAACAATGTCTTGCTGGTTTAGCTGAGCACCCAGCTCTTGAAGGACTGTGTTTGTTTCTGTCCTGGGACCTTTGCAGTGCCCAGTGAAGATGTGTTTGCTGGACTTTCTCTGCTCCGGCCCATGGTAGGGATGTGTTGCTTTCCTCTTCCTCCTCAATGCTTGCTTGGCACAGCACCTATGCATAATGAATACTGGCTCTATGTTTGTTAACTGACTTACTGAGTGAATGAGTAAGTGCAGATACATTACTAAGAGCAGGGAGAAAGGAGAAAACAAGAGAGCTGGCTCCAGGGGGAGAGTGGGTGCCGAGGGAGTGCTGTGGAGGGAGTATAGTGACCTCCAGAGAAGACGTGATTGCTTGGTTTGCCACAAGTTAGCTGAGGTCATCTAGCCATGATCTCCCTTGGAGAGGCAAGCTTCTGGGCCTGTCCTGGGCAGAGAGAGGTGAGCCCTGGTCCTCTTCAGTTGTCCTCTAAGGGCATTGAGCTGGATCTGCCCACCCTGACTTGGCCTCAGACTGGGTGGTCTGGTTGGCAGTGGCCTCTGCTCATGTCTGTTGGGTGTCACAGTGCAGGGCAGACTCAGTCCAGTGAAGTGATTTTCACACCGTTCTGGCCTGGCTACAGGAGTCTCCTGGGGCCTGGTTCAGGTTGATTCAGGCTGGTTCAGGCTGGTTCAGGGTTCAGCATATGATGGCGGCAGGGTCTCAGCACTGCTGCTCCCTGCTGGTAGTCTTGGGTAAGAGGCTCCCCTCCTCTGCTCAGCTTGCTGTTTCTAAGAGGGAGCAAGGACTCACTGACCTCATCTCACCATGCTGCTGTGGGAAAGCAAGCCTCTCCCATCAGGGAGCTCCTCTCATGGCCTCTCTCCAGCTCCCTGTGCTGCAGGCTGACCTCTGCCATGGCTGGCCGGCATCCACTGCTCACCTGTGTCTTCAGCCCTGCCTGTGGCCGGCACCTTTCCTGTGGGCCACTTGCCTAGCCTAAGCCCTGGCTGCCAAATCAAGCAGGTGGGTGGCAGGGAGATGGGCTGGCCTTGCCCTTTGTGAATGGCCCCTCTGCTTGGGTCTGTTTTGCATCTTGACCTCTGCAGTTTTGAGAAAGCAGAAGAGGTCTGGTGACAGAAGAGGTGGGAGGATGCTGTGTG